TGAATAGAGCATCAGTTAGTCCAGAGACAAATGTCCCATTACCCATAAGCATAAATTCTCGTAATACATTCAGGTGAGCACAAAGGTCCAAATCATGGAAAAATATAGATAGAACCGATGCGTCGATAAGTCTACAATGACAAATAAGTGTATGCCTTAGAACAAGGTCAGTGACCGCACCCAACGGAAGAATGTATTCTTTATGTGCATAAGGAGATGTTGATGATTGAATTTGTAAGAACCGTTCTATAAGAATTATGACGGGATCTTTGGTTGAAGGATCTAATGACATGAAATGGGAAATATTTTCGGTTAATTGTAAATCGGCCTACAATAAAATAATTAACATTAATGATATGAAATAAATTATTATAATGTTGAAATTTAAGTTGTCGTACGTTTTGTTCACTTTCTGCCATTTTACAATCACGAATGTGCTCGATTTCTGGTCTTTGCTCTTCATCTTGAGTAACGATGGAAATAGTCATATTGTGTAAATAGTCCCGAAGTTGATCGTGCATTCTTAATTATTATTAGATAAAGAGAGAATATACTATATATAAAATGTTTGGTCGTAAAGTTGTAATTATAATAGATTTTCCACCCACTCATCTATGTCTCCTTGAATAAATAGAAATTTCAAATTCAGGTCCCAGGCGGGTTTATCAGTCATATGGCTTAAAACAGCACCCGAATTACATAAGGGATGCTCAGGTCGACAATCACGTAGCAACCTTAAGGCCTTTCCTGCCTCCAGAACACCACGTGCAAGCGCAGAACTGATGAACGTTGGTAAGAAATACTCATCATCAGCCTAAGAGAAAGAATGAGAAAAAATGGATTAATTTATGATTATGTTTAGTATATATATATATATTTTTCTTTTTTTAAAAAATAAATTCTTATGTAAAATGTAACCTAAGACTTTGTAAATAATAATGTCTATATGTAGTGAAACCTACTTCTATTCCAACTCGCCAAAATTCATCACCATTGTCTTTCACAGAAATAGTATCAAATTCCATATATATAAACTCATCATTATACAAATCCATAGGTAAGAAACTGCACGAAGATGATAGTATTCCGAGCCATGAATTTAACATTTCGAAAAATGGTCTACTTGATTGATCCAAAAATGCCAGGAAGACTGCTCTTAGGAAAGGTGAACTAGCTGAATCAATTGTTTCTGCTGTAATATAAATTTCAGATAAAATTTTTGACCCAAAAGGTAAATAAAATCCTTCATTATCTCGTTGCTCTCTTTGGTTTG